GGATAAAATGAACAAGTAGAATAAATATGTGGAGTCTCCATTTTCGACGTACCGAATCGTGGAAATTTGTACAGGCCACCTGCTACTGAAGTTTGGACTAGGTAATTTGTACGAACAAATAATAATTAACCCGCCATTTTCTTTGTGGACAGCGACAGTCAGCTTGTGTAATCATTGTTATTAGTAACACGGGCACATACACAACGCATTCAAGTAGATACGTTTAATTAGCGTGTCGAATGAAAAATTAGATAGTGACTTATGTTTCATTTGGCTTATTTCCTGCTTCGAAATTAAACACGTCAGTATCACGGAGTGTAGGTTTTTCAAAAGCTTTCTCAACGCCAGCACGGCTCTTATGATCTGTTTCGTGATTAGGATTTCTCATAGAGTAATCCCGTTGCAGTAATTGCAGTCCCCAGAATCAGTTTCTCGTAATTTTGTGGCTAGATTGGTCTAATGCCTCATATAGCGCCCCCGCGTTTATATTAAGAATGAAAGTATTCATTCGATACAACACACACGAGTGTTTTTCAAATGCGTTCTTTGCAATTTTGCCTTGTTGTTCGTACATTTATCGTTTCAAAGCTAATCACTTTGGGTTTCACGCTGTGTGTGCCGGCCACTTATTATTTCCCTGCATTTCGTTACATATTTATCATGTCGAAACATGTTCCAAATAAAAGTTTTGTATCTCAAACCGATCTGTAAATGATGGTCTGTACAAATTGCTATTTATATTGAATAAAAATTTACTTGTATATTATCCATCGTCTAGTAATAAAACGTAAAAAACGTAAAACGACGTTTCGGAGATGGGGCTCTATCTCCGTCTTCAGGTTCCTACTCAGTTGGGCCCACTAGATAGAGCTAATCCCTATCTCCGGACAAATTAAATAGAGCCCCATCTCCGAAACGTCGTTTTACGTTTTTTACGTTTTATTACTAGACGATGGATAATATCCAAGTAAATTTTTATTCAATTGACTTTTCACCATCATCAAGAAGTTTTAGATTTGCTATTTATATGATGAATAGTTTTTCTTTTGTGAAATGTTGGCTTCTTGGAAAGTAAGGGTCATTATTGGCAGACACGAAAATTAAATTCGGGGACAGCGTTTAGTGCCACATGCAACTAAATTGGTCGAGTGCTTTCGAAGATGACGTACGGATCATCAGCCAGACACGACCTTCCTCTTATGCTTTAATTTTATGTTTTTTGTTCGAAGAACATGTAAATATTTTCTGTAATCATTCGGCATGTTCAGTGCAGATATGAAGTACTGAATCTTCATACTCACCGCTGTGAAAACCTCAAATCATACTTACTGAATCTTAGTTTACTCGTATCCAGCTTTCGGAGGGGTGGACCTACAGGCACACAGGAGTGATTCCTCGGGCGACATACAAACAGGCTTATTATTAATGAATTTTGGGCTCCATATATGCGGAGAATTTCTTGACAAGCTGAACATACAGCTTCTTAAGGACTCTGCACCTTGGAGTTAATGGTCTGTAGTACACATTTTCTTAATACTGAAAATCATATACCGGAACTGGCTATAAAATGAATGACCCCAGTACATGATAAAGGCAGGAAATGCTGTGTCGGTATGTGATGATGATGATTCATGGCCATGAGATGCTTTCGCGTTTTGACGTGGGTTTTGTTTAAGTTCTTGTAGCAGGCCTGTGTATATTTGGACCTGTAGGAAAATCTGAGCTACTTTGTCAACTCCTACACGCCTCAACCAGGTGTGAAACTCACATTCATTAATTTTAGGACGTCGTGTCGCTCCATTAATGAACTCAAATTAAGTTGACACTTTTTTCAGATGGCGATATTGTTATCAGACAGAGCGCGTCTTGTCTCAACAGCGCACTGCTCGATTATCGATCATCTGCACTGCCCCTCTCTTTAGTTTCCTCCGACATACACGAATTTATATTTCACAAGCATTGAATGTTACTAGTTAACTTTTGTCATGGAAAGGGTTAAAACGCTTCAGACGTCTCTGATTGCAGATGCATTGCCTAGGCATTATTATAGTTCGTTTCCTCCTGTAAAAATAGAGACACCAAATGAAACTAACCTTGTCCTATGAAAAATATTGTTTGTTATCAGCATGCATACTGAAGACACTCGAAACAGCAGACTGTCGTTTTTAAATTGCTACACTGCGACAGACGATGCAGTGAGTTTTTGAAAAAAGCGACATGACGAAGGAGTAGCGTCTTCTTGTTCTTCTTCTTCTTCTTCTTAATAATAATAATGACTCTATCCTTGAAGATTTTTTACATTTTTAACTTTATGGCTGCAAAAACGTCGATGAGAAGTTTATCACTGCTTTGATATGACTTCCTAATACCCGTGCGTATCTGAGAAACGGCTCGCAGTGAAATTCTGAGTGTCATGTGCAGCCCTGGGGCAACATTTGCTCACGTCTGGATTGAAGAAGCTTGTCTGAGAGAAAATAATAATAATAACAACAACAACAACAACAGTAAATAAGTAGATAAGCTACAGTGATTAATGAATCAGAATCTGTCCAAGTAATAAATTAATTAAAATACAACTTTCTTCTGCTACTAAACGTCGCGATCCTGGGTTTGAACCCGACTCTTGGTATGGAGTTTGTTTGCGTTTTTCTGTTTTACGTTGTGTAGTAGAGGCCATATTTCGATCTGATGACCCGCCCAAGGATTTCTACCAAATGTTGGAAGGAATTTATAATTTAAGAAGTATTTTTGAATCGGGACAGGCCATAATACTTAAATGCAGGAAAAGAAGAAGAGCCCACTGACGAAACGATTTGTATATATTAATATATTGATTTTTAAAGTGACAGCTTCAGGCATAGATCCTGATGGACGCAGGCTTAAACTTTTATTACCCTACTTTGTATTGATTCTGACGACGACCGACCCAAATATGTACACATCACCCCCATGCAGTCCTACTTGGCGATACGGGCGTAAATTGGGCGTTAATGTAAGAGCAGAGTGTCGCTAAGAGACCAGGCAATATTGTTGTCATGACAACGCATTAAAAATAGGATTCTGAATCTCTGCATAATATGAAAACGTTCCCATGCAACCTGTGACGTTTCTTGCTTAGAAATATAGGCTGATTCAGCTCCAGACATTTTTGTTTTTTGAGAGTGTCAATGAAAATTAATTCTACAGCTATCTCATCACTGTTAGAGCTATGATTCATCACTACAGTTACAAAACCCCACAATTTGTCCTTATCTTGAACTAGTTTAATCCAAATCACATTACTACCTGTTTTTCTAATCATAATTTAAAAAAATATATTCCAGTTGCCTCTTGTGATTCTTCACTCAAAATGTGCCCATGTCTTGTTTTTGTAAGCATTTGACAATCTTCGTACAAATTGCTGCCTTAACTATATTAGGTGAAGAGTGCAAAGCCAGTGAATTGTGACTTCACTACGTAATGATGTCTGTGGTATCTGCAAAGCAGACAGAAAATCCATATTTAATGTCCACCCACGAACAACTTAAATCACAGCTTGTGAGATTGAGTTGTCAAAACGTTTGTGAGAGAGAACTGGACGCAGTTTTTCAATACGTCAAACGCACCGAACGTCGTTGCTGCATGGTTAACATTTCTGCTTCAAATTCGGGAGACACCACTTTCAAAGCTCGACGCAGAGACCGGCTATTCTTACTGAGGATTTGCATGATTATCCCAAATTCCTCCATACAAATAGTAGGATAGTACTTTAATTTACTTCACAACTTATTCTTTCCATATGTTTTCAGTTCATTAATCATTCAGCGCTATATAGTCTGAGTTGTTGACAGCGTCGTTAAAAGACATAAATAAATAAATAAATAGAAAAAAGAAACATGGCAGGCGGCATGAATGTGTGCAGATCATTGAGTTATTCAGTTCATTGCGTTAGATTTTTCTATTTCAAAGCAATGGGATAGTTGATATGTGGATAATTTAACGACGCTGTATCAACTGAAAACATTATTTAGTATCTAATGTTGTGGAAGTATGATTATTTTGGTGTTTGTATCGGAGGTTTTCAGGGAACCTGTACTTCGAATTTAATTTCGATTGTGTTGGTTTTCTCATGTTATATGAAGCTCAGTTGGAACGAAACCTTTTCTCGTAAACGACTTGGCATACGGCAGTTATGACTTTGTGCAGTATCAATAACATTCAACAGTGCTGATCAGTGTTAAAACCCGAGATGAGTTTTATCATTAATTTCGTTTAGAGTGTCTCCAGATTTGCCGTTTGGGTGGGGAAAGATAATTTCTCATTTTCTCATGCTTATTTTGTAATGAAAGCTAGTCTTGTGGTGTGTATGTATCCCTTTTATAAAATTTCTGAAACAATCTCATGAAACCTGATATTGATTGTGCCGTAGGCAGATACTTCATATTCACGCATTTTAATTCCCTGCCATCAATGAAAGGCTTGGCGGACATGCGAAAGTGTGAGGTGTGCGGCGTTAGTTTCACTGCATTCGTGTTTGTTGAAGGAACTTGAAATATATAGACCTACAGGCCTATACGTTTTGTTAGTTTAGGTTTTTAGAATGTAAAATAACGACATGGCAACAGCGCGAATAATACATTTGGTTTATTGGTTTATGGTAAAAACGAAAGAACAATTTCAACTCTTAATGTTGAATTCCGCATGGAGGTGACGAACGTATATAAAATAGTGTTCAATATTACAAAGAAGACTGCGAAGCGACATTTTTACGTTATATGTGTCATTGTTGAAGGCAATGGGATCTATACTAACCCGCATTATATAAATAAATAAACACTTGGTTCCATAATTTTAATCCCGATGAGTTCATTCTTCTGTGCCCGTGGCATCTTAAAACGATTTCCTTGTCAGCTGCCCGCCAGTAAGTTACCCAGCTTAACTTACTTTCAACTGTCTTCCATATCTGGAGACGAAATTTTAACACACTAGGAAGGACTGATGAAAGCTTAATTTTTGTCTAGATGCCTGAGGAGAATCGCGCACTGCGCCTCAAGGAGTCAGTCACAGCCACCCTGGAGGACGCGCTGCCAGCAGCCGTGTCACTGCCACAAGCATCAGTAGCAGCCACTGACACAGACCCCAGAGTCAGTTGGAATTACTTTGACGAGAGGGGCTACGTTGAGCGGGGCGGACTGAAGACAGGGGAGGATCCGTATCTGAGGAACAAGTTCAACCAGCAGGCCAGCGACAAGTTGCCTAGCAATAGGGCCATCCCAGATGAGAGGAGCCCCATGTGAGTACTTCGAGATAGATAATTATACGAAAAAAAGTGGGTTGTGTTCACGAGGACATTCTGGATGAACTGAGCCCAGTGTGAGTACCGCGAGATCGTTTCGAAACAAAATTCTTATCGATGTGGTTTGTATTCTTATTAATAATCTTGACAAGAGTATTAATGTAGGTGTATTAATAGAACTTGCGAAACTTTGTATATAGAAGGAGTTACTTGATGACGTACATCTCTAAGGCAATCCCAAACAAACGGCACGTTTTGACGTACCGTGCCTAGTATGTTTTAATCATATAGAACTTGTTAATCTGAGAGATGTCAGGTTCTCATGCGGCGATTATGAAGATTACTATCTTCTGGGATGTTGTTCCGTATAGTCTCGTAGAAATTGACTACCGTTTTAGAGAACTTATCAGGGTGATTACCCTCGTGATGAAGGCAGTAAGCACCACTGAAACGTCCGTCAGTTTCTACAAGACTGCACGACGCAACGACCCAGAAGACCGGCAACTTTGTTGTAAGCTCAGGCTTTCCGGACCAGAGAAGTCCCGCTTACCTCCTGATCATGAAATATTCATTTTCATTAACAAAAGTTTGATCTTGAAATCCAGAATGTACATCCTCGTTAGTGCAAGTGACTGTAAGTTCTGACTCGTTCTGGGACCTCCTTGAATGCGGAATCACACCATAGCAGACCCAGGCCTCGCCAAAACTGCGATCAGCATTTTAATAAAATTAACAAATGAAAACCGTGACTCGCTTTGAATCTTCGGGTTTGGTATCAACAGCTAATGTCTACGCGCATTAAAGAAAATGCAAAATCAATGGGCGGAATCCAACACCATGCTGCAGCATCAGCCAGGTGGGGGCGTTATTTAAAACTGCTGATACGTGCTCGAGAGGTCACTGTCTAACGCCCTATCATCTGGGCACAAGGGTTAACTTTCTTCACACACTGGGCATTCTGTATCGAAATAGGCCACTTTGACACTCAGCTGCAAAGACGAATAAGAGTCTTGGAGATGAGATAAAGCTTCACTCGTTTTAAACTTTAGCTGGAAATGTAGTATGGGGTCAGTTTCTGCCCTGGTCGACTTTACCCTCAGCGAAAGAAGCCCAGTGGCACGACTGAGTAAAATGTTTCTGCTTCACCTCCGTGAAAACTATTGTGTCGTACCTGCAGTCAGGTGGCAAGTAGGCGCCGATTCTGTCTTCCTTTTATGCCGCTGAAGCAAATCCCTTAATTGGAGATGACATGTCTAGTACTTATTGATTTTCCAACAGTTTCATTTGAACACTGACGTCGAACTAGTACAAAAAGAACGTCCCGACATGCTGAAATTTTAATGTGTTGGCCGGGGAACCGAATTGTTGAAAAAGAACGTGAGGAAACATAGCGAAACAATTTTTGCACGTGCTCCAGAATTTTGCATTTTAACTTTGACATTTGTGAATGGCGCGGGTGATTCCCCACATAACCATGGTAACGAAGGTAGGCTGCGATGCCCCACGTCAAATATCATATCTTAGCACTGCTTGAATGTTATCGTAAACTGCTCGGAAATTTTCAAACAAATGTCGCACTTTGTGAGATTTGAGGTTCTCACGGCGATGAGGATGTCGATGGGTTGTGACGCTGGTATACTCGTAGGTAGATACCAGCGTTTCGGAGAAACATGCTGTCTCCATGTTCAGGGTTGAAGAGTTCACACTGCGACCCAGAATAACATCATCAATGCTGTCGCGCTTTTCTTCATATCCAGTAGATCCTGGATTCGGATATCGATCGAGAATACGAACGTTCTGTTAAACCACTTTCATGAGTTTCTTCAGTTTCTCTAGGGATTTGCTGGTGTAGTGGCTTAAAAAAAGTCGTTACTAATTCGTCTTTCATAATAATTCTGTTGTTACGCTATATGCAGAAAAAATGTGTAAGTTATAATGTGGCGATTAGTGAACAACCACAAATACGAGTAGCTCATTCAACTAATGCTTGGGTTACATACACACTTTTCCCGACTATGTAGGTGAATGCGGAGGAATGTGGAAGGAAACGATCGTGGCCTCTTTTAACGTCGGCTTTCGCCCTGTTTGACTGACGGAATCACATCGATCATGGTAGCCGGTTACTGCCCGAATTGGACATTCGTAACTGGCGCTGTACCCAATCTGCCGAATTAACGCCTGGTGTAGAGATGACAACACTCAAAATTCATATCCCAGTCGTTGGCACGATTCTGCCCGTGTACATGGTTTGATTGGCTCCCTGCCACTACATTACCCGTGCAAATTTGTTCAAACAATGGCTTACAGTCTTATTCATCTGTCTCTTGTTATGGAACCCCAAAGGTTTGTCACGTGTTCATAAAATTTCACCTTTCGACCCTATTCTGAGTCAGTTCAGTCCACTTCGCATCTTCACAACCTGCTTGCCTACTGTCCATTTTAATATTATCGTCTTCCTACGTCCTAATCTTCCAAGTGTCTCTTTCTTTGAGGTTTTAGAATCAAAATGTAACATGCATTCATTTCCCCCATGCCTAGCCCGTTTATTGTTACTTGATATAATTACTTTAACAGTATGGGATTTGAGGTTTCCAGGACTGTTAGAATTTATATTGCGGTCTTCTTGGTTGTGACCTAATTTAGTCATGAATATGCCACAGACCATGGCGTCACAACCGTGAACGTTACAGTCTGAAACTTGACAATAGTTTGGCAGATAATCTGATTTGTTCAGCTACTTGTTATGTAAGTTTAATTATTAGTGCCCTGTTGTAACTTCATCTGTCTTAGGCATAGTGACATATTTTGTATGAAATTAATTTTATTCAGAACGGCTAATATCCCCACGCCTAAACCCCAAGCTGGAGGACCACATCTTGTGGCTCTTCGTAGGTACTTACTTAGTACATGCACAGCTACACATATCCGCCATATTGTGTTGACTGGTCTGCTGATACGAAGGGTGATATCACAAATTCTCCAATGCACCGGTTCTCACAAAACAATTTTCACTGGTCAGGCGTTCTTTGCACGAACGGTACTTTATAGGGATGTCGTGTTCGCCCGCTTTCATGTTTAAGTTCATATATAATTTCAAGGATTTTTATGAAATTTTGGTCTTGGTGACTTGCACTAAAGTTGCTGATCTGACTTAATGTGATTAATATGGAATTGTTATTTTGCGTTAATAGTGTATGCAAATTATTCATATATTTTGTATAATAAGGTGTGTCTCGAATAGGGTTAGTTAAGCATTCCTTCAGATGATTATCTTATTGCTGAGAAGAAGGCTTGTAGTTAAAAATGTCCCTGATATTTTGCGCTGTGAAGAGGGAAGACCCTTTCTTCGTATGAGCACGTTTAGGGAAACCCGGGACTGCTTTCCTTTCTACCCTCAGACATGCCATAAGATGCGACTCCCAAGCTCACATAATGGAAACCGTACTTATGCCTCTTGTGTATTGTATTGGGGGAAGAGATAAAAGATTTTATGTATGAAATCAAACTCGAAATTGGTTTTTGAATGCGGGAAGAGTAGTGATGCGGAACTGGAGGGATGTACACGACGGAAAATGTCGGTGCCATCTGCTACTCGCATTCCACCAAGCCACGTGCCCAATAAATATTCTTAGACAGACGGGACGAAACTTTTCAGAGACAAGTAATACCAACTGCACCACTGAATAGAATATATTACAGCCCCAATTTGAGTGTTCTCGCCGCATAACTCTTCGATTCTAAGTGGTAGCTGTTCGAACGTGCTTTAACGTACAAAAACCCGGAGTATATTTATGGTCCTTTGATTAAACAGCGATTGTTTTCCTCGAACTTATTAACTGACAGACCTTAGCATTATCGTTGGCTTCAACAATAATAACTCGACAGTGGTGGGTTTTCTTGGCTCATTTCAAAGCCTATGAAGGCATCGTGCTAAATTTGTGCATATTGTGTTAATATTTGGTAACTATGTAGGATTTTATGTTTTCACGGCGATGCGTTTGAAGATGGCTGTCTTCTGGGTTGTTGCGCCGTGTGGTCTGGTAGAAATTTACTGACGTTTCAGAGGTCCTTGCTTCCTCCATCAGCAGTACTCATCGTCCTGATGATGGATGCAACAAAGACCTCTGAAACGTTGGTGGACATCTACCAGACCACACGGCGCAACAACTTAGAAGACAGCCATCTTCACATGGTATATCTGCATAATTGGTCCATGTCAATTCTGAGTATAACAGACATTCTGTTCAGGTATGACTACCGAAGGAAATCTTTGGGGCCTACGTATATGAACGGGATATCTGTGTAATAAGCATATTGCGTGGTAGCTTGGTTGGTTGATCATTATTTGCTGTTAAGGGATTTTGGGCCGAATGGCTTACAGACTCCGTTGTCGCCCTGATGATGGAGGCTGTAAGTCTCTCTGTAATGTCGGTCACTTTCTACTTAACCTCTCAGAAGACAGTCATCGTTAGGTCTGCCTTGGACGATGAGTCATAATGACGAATTTGATAGTAGAAGTTGTTTCCAGTTCATGTACGGGTAAACCAAGGGCTCTGTAGTGAAGAGAAATAAATGGCCCAAGATTAGATTGCAGCAGATGAGCGCCCGGGCATCATTCAAAACGACCCTGGAAAACACGTCAATCGCCGCGACGCTGGGGCGGATAACTAAGGATGCCATTGGACACGGTGTTTAAAAACCAACGTGAAGCGTCGCTTCGAAATGAAGCAACATTTACTGCAGATACGTTTCCGAATCATATTGGAAACGGCAATAGTAAGCCGACGCCGAGCGAAGCCTTTCGTCGTGGCGTCTTCAGAAGACGCCATTCTTAGTGTTTTGAGTCTCGGGACGCCTTTAAACACGAAGTTGAAAAACACATTGCAGAGTTATAGATTGTCAGACAGTTGAGACAGATATGTACCACTAGGCTTTAAACGGTTAATAGTTTCGGGAGGTGAAACATCGGATGGACATTATTTAATTTGTACGCTCAC